GTCCTTGTCCCCAGTGAACTTAGTCTGGTGGGAGACAGCATTCAACAAACACTTATATAAATAATTACCTAACTGCAACTTGTGAAATATTAGGAAGGAAAGTTATAGTGTGTTAATGAGAATACATCAGGAAGTCCAACTAAAGTTACCCCTGAAAGAAACTATTTCTTTAAAACCAGGAGCACATCAACCTGCCTCTTATAATCTTCTGACAGAGTCACAGTTAGAGGGAGGGAGTTAGAGGTGGAAGGTAGATAAGGCAACTTTTTTTCCTACTTATTTGAAACAAGAAGGCAGGAATGCAAAACTATCCTGGAAAATGATTTCATCCTTCTGGAAACTGATACTGGTCTCCTTTCAATGTTGGGAGGGGAAGAGTGTTTACAAAGATTAATGTACAAAGAAGCCTTATGGGTAAGAGTAGAATATTTGAAAGAACCTAAATGTACATCAGTTGGGGAGTGCGTACGTGAATTATAATATACTACGCTACGGAATAGTATTCTTCCTGCCTATTAAAAAACAGTGAGGTCGCACCTATGTACTGACATGCGATGCTCTCCAAAACATATTAAATGGGAAAATGCAAACCGCTATGGTATGACTCAATTTGATTTTTTTTAATTGTTATATTAATACAGAGAAAGGGGACTTATAAGCTGTATAAAGTGTCCACAGTGGTTACCTCTAGCACATGGTAAAGGAGGTTTATGAATTCTTTAGGTACAATAAAAATCCAAAATGTGTTAACAAAGAAAAACATGCACACATCAGTAGCCTCTCTGGGTAGCAGGCATCTTTCTGGAAGGGGACCAGGAGGCTCACTTGGAGATTTGGGTTTAAGGGTGAGTTGAGGATATGCTGTATGGAGCATATGTTCTGAGACCCTCAGTGTCTGTAAGAATGAGACCCATTCTTACAGACACCCCTGAAAAGAATCCATCAATCACCGTTGACACCTAGTACATGCTGCAAAGCGGCCTGAATTCCCAAAGATGAGCCTAAATTCAGCCACAACTGAGCAGATGACTTCAGCCACCAGGCTGCCAACTCGGTTGGAGGCAACAGGAGGAGGATTGTGAGCTAATAGTGCTGGAAGCAGCTGCAGTTATAAATGTCCTTTGGTTCACTGGAGCTGGCATGCCTGCCCTGTAGTGACAGCAGCAGAGCAGGGCTAACCCGGAAGGACCAAGGCCTCTGCCTAGAACTGTGGCTACCCACTAGGAAGGCAACAGGGAGAGAAGGCTCCCTGGGCAAACAAGATACCCTGTCCCAGGGGTCCACTGGCTGCCCCCACAGTTCATCTGGTCCAGCCAGCCTGGCTGGGGCAAGACACATCCTGGCAGGAGACGGGGTCTCAGAGGCATCAGGGAATCAAAGTAATCCCCAAGGGGCGGCTCGGCGTCAGGCCCTCCATGGCTCTACAGGGTTCTCCACACAGTTGTCACGCAACTACTTCCTAAATCTCCCTCTCTCCCTTCCCCCCAACCTCTCTCTCTCCGTGTGTGTGTGTGTGTGTGTGTGTGTATCTATCTCAGGGTGAAATGTATTACATCTGGGCATGAAGACTCAGCAGAAGCCTTTACTGTGATGCCCAGTACGTTTTTTCTACAAGGACATTCTCGCTCTGACCTCTGACACACCGCCCCCCATACACACATGCAGGACCCTCTCTTAATTCTAAAAAAGTCTGTGCAAATTTTCAGATTTACTGGGATCTTTTCTTTAAAGTCAAAATGTTTCCCTAAAGTAAAAACTGTCACCCAGTTATAACTAGGATACTGACTTAAAGAATACCAGTTCATGAATAATTTCATTTTCAGAAACTGGGAAATAAAATTTATTTAATGCTTGAGAGAATTTTATATCACAATTGCTAAATTTTTATATATACTAGTGTATAAATACAAGGGGAATGAAGAAAATTGATGTGTGTAACAGAGGTGATCTTCTCATTTCCTTTTTTATGGGAAAACAATGAGATTTACACCCTCTTCCCTACAAAACCCTGTCTAGGCTGAACTGATCCCCACTTCTCTGTCTGAGTGCACGTAAACTCCCATGGCCACACCCTGTCTCACACTTCCTGCCTCGGCTCACACTACTCCATATACTTGGAATCCTGCCTCTTCAATTCAAACTCTTCTTTACCCAGAAGCCCTGGCTGTTCCTGTGAGTCAGAAGCACCCCCTCCCTCTGCTTTCCACTGCACCCGGCTTTAGTACACACCTCTGACACTGCCCAGGTTCCTTGAATCCTGTATTAGGAGGGTTATGCATACATCTTCTCTGCTCAATCCTGCTTCCTGCGGGAAGCCTGATAGCGCTTCTCTGTCTTACCTGTGTGTGACACATGATTGCCAAGAACAGTACCATGTATAATAACTGTAATGCCACAGCTATTACCTTTCATTCACTCAACAAACGTTATACAGCAGTTTCAATGTGCCATGCAAGAACCAGTTTCTGTGGATCGATACAAGATGAAGAATCTGGTAGGTGAGACACTCATATGACAGGTTATAATGCAATGTGTGAAGTATGACAAGAAAGATGATTCCAGGCACCAGAGAGGCAGGGAGTACTTCTCAAGGGAGGGAGGATGAAGCCATGTTTTATGTTTGCAGCCCCATCTCACACTCCTTCTGGGGTCAGTGCTAATGGAAGGAAGTGGTGGGCAAAGTGCCTGACTACCCAACTAAAATTACTCTTCTCTCTCTTCACTGTTGCTGTTCTCTTTATCGTTTTGCTTGTTTTTGCACAAATTAAATGCTGCAGGATGTGACACCATCGTACCATTTCCATGCACTGATTTATGCACCTCTCCTCTCCTCTCTAAAGTCTTTCTTCTGGCTTTATCTAATGTGTACCAACCTGATAGGTCTCCCCTGGTCCTGCCGGCTTCATCCCCCATGCCTGTCCTCTCCAAGGAAGTTCTGACACACTTGAGAAGACATGGGAGTCTGTCTATATCTTCACCCAAGACCCTGCTGCCCTTCACCTGCCCGGTGCTCAGAGCTGGGTACTCTTTTCACTGAATCACACCATGCTCAATGATGTTACCTGCCAGTACATCTGACCTGGAGCCCATCTGGGTGATAATTCCCTGAAGGCAGGAGTGAACCATGCCTCAAATGCCTTTCATGGGCCCCTCAACACACAGCAGACGCTGACTCCTGCTTGGTAAACTGACACCCAATACCAGCCAAATGGCTCTCAGATAGTCCATCAGTTTGGATGTGTCTAGAGCACTACTGGAGCAGGTGCCTTAGGAGTCCCTCTAACTTGTGGGCTTAAGGTGAAGTTTGACTACAGAAGGGAACCAATTCCTTGCTCTTGTCACCAGGTGCCCAAGGAGAGGGTTGCTCCTCCATGACAGGGACCATGCTCCATTCACTCACCAGGTCCAGCCCACAGCTGGTGCTCAAGGAATATTTGCTGAAGGGAGAGTTATCTCCAGGACCCATGCCATTTGGTGGTTTTCCTTTCTACTGGAAGCCTCAACTCCTGGCCATCTGGAAGGCGGAAGGGAACCCAATGGCTATGCCTGCCCAAAGACAAGGAAAACTGAGCACGTACTTTCCACAATGGGCTTGGCAACTTCCTGCAAAGCTGAACAACTTAATGTTGTAAATCACAAAATGAAACTTAGGGTAACCCTTTTCTAACTAACTTTTCCTTGAAGTTCATTATTTCCATCACCACCACCATCCTCCAGTCACCCAGGCCTGCAGTTTTCAACAACTCCAAGCAGTCTCTGCCCTTCATGGCCTATTAAAAACTAGAGACCAAGGGCTGCTTATAGCTCCTTGATCTCTCGGAAATCACGCCTTCCTACCCTTTGCCTTTCAGTCTTGGCCCCTCCAGCTCTAACTCCCATCTTCACAGACTGTACCTGCTGCTATCATCACTCCATTACTTATGAAGTGCTGTTTCCAACTGGTCCATCCTCTGCCCAAATTATTTCACACTTTTTAAACCATCAAGTCTGTACTCCTCTGTTCTCACCGACCCAGGCCCCTGTCCACTCCTATTCCAGAAACCCTGAAAAATCACCCTGCTTCAGCTAGGACAGTCATTGTCTCTCTCTGAGGACATGTAACATCCTCTGCCACCTCACAATCTTGGCAAAGGCCTCACCTCTGCTCCAAATCCCACACACATTCTAGGGCTCAGGGCCAGCCCACCCCCTCCTATGAACTTTCCCCAAGGCCCAGCCCCTCTGGCCTTTCCCTCTTTCTCCCCACAGAACTGTCTCCAGCTGTCATGCACTGCCTTCCTATTGACTCATAAACGCTGTCTCCTGTGCCGAAAGTCAGAACAGCTGCTGAGGAAGACCGGACACTTACGAGCCATGTGATCCTACCCAAACCATCAGACTTCTGTATCTCCCAGAACTGTTATGGATGGTCAGATGAGAAGTCACATATGAAAGACCCGGCAGGTCTTGTCCCTGTCACATTCATAATAAATCCATCCAGGTGGAAGATTTTGGTATCCCTCTAAGCTGCCAAGTGCAGTTATTTCCATCCCTGCAGAGCTAAAGTCTCCGTATCAGTTGAACGTAAGAGACGAAGAACACACTTTTCCTGGAGCACTTTACACCCTCCATTTAGCCACTCAGGAGCTTCTCTGGTACAAGGTTTTAGATGATGGCACGCATGTGGAGGGAGAAGGGTGGGACACAGTTGGTTCTTGGAAAATCTGGCGACAAGGGTGCTGGTCCTAAGAGTGGGACATGAACGTTAAGTCACAGTCGGGATCAGTGGGGAGCAGAGGACAGAGAACAGAGGTGCACAGATGCGAACAAGGCCTACAGGGGTATGAATGAAGCACGTGGACAACAAAGAATGCTTCAGAGAACAAACTGGGGCTGCCTTCCTTTCCAGAGTTCACGCTCATCGCAGCTTCAAGCACTGCCGGGGAGCACAGGAAAATCATTTCTCCCCAGACCCGGGCACCTCTGATCACACCAACCCCACCCGCCAGCCCGGGCCTTACCGATCGAGATTTCCTGCGCGAAGGCCAGCGAGATGAGCAGCAGAGGCAGTCCCACGGCGATGCAAGTGACCATCTTGTCCACGGCCAGCTCCAGCCGCAGCCCCTTGAACTTGGGCTCCGAAGGCTCCTTCAGCAAGAAGTCCGAGAACACGTACTCGGTGGCCAGGTGGGCAATGGCCATGGCTGCGGCACCAGCAGGCCCGGGTACCGCCGGCGTCGGGAGAGCTGCGCAGCGCCTTCACTCCGTCACCAGCCGGGCCCGCGGCTTTCGGTTTCCCTTTGTCGGTTCCCCATTTGCTTCCACATCCCACCAGCCTTTGTGTCGGGGCGCCCCCAGCACCGGCGATGCGCGGCAGCGCGGTTTCCAGAGCTGGGCGCCCGGGCACACGAGCCTAGCGCTAGCTCTTCTGCGGCGGGCCGGGCGCGCCCCCGAACCGGGCCTTCCCCGCCCCCAGCCCCGCCCCCGGACCTGCCCCTTTTCCGTCCCGGCCAGCCACGCCCCCGCCGTCGCCCCGCACAGGCCGCGCACGCGCGCGCTTCCCGTGCTCTGCCCCTCCCTGACGCGCCCACGGGCGCGAAAACCAACCAGCTCCCAAAGCGCTTCTTGGTCTCCTCTGCGAAATTGCCTTCAGGCCGGCCCGGGCGCTTCTTCGGAACGACGTGGGGCTGGATACCCAGGGGCTAGGAGTTTCCGGGCGGCGGGGACGCGGGGCGGGATGGGCGCGGCTGCATCCTTCGGCGCTGGGAGCCGCCCCACCAAAGGTATCTACCCATCCAGATACCTCGGAGAACTCTCGCGCCTCCCATACTCATCTTCCCCGCTTCCTGGCTCTCGAGATTTTTGAAATCATTTCTGAAAGGGCCCCCTTGTACGCCCCATCCCCAACATTTCTGTTTCGTGGCATCGAAAGGAGCAACAAACGTTTCCGAGAGCAACGGTGCCATAAAAGCCTGTGGAGCTGGGTGGACTGAGCGAGTGTGAAGAGAAGACCCCGGACCCTTTCGGGAGCCCTGCAGGACAGGGAGTCGCGCGGTCCGTGGTGAGCCCTGCGTGTGACAAGGTCTCAGGCTAAAATGATCGCTGTTTGGTCTGCGCTTCTGCTCCTGCTTTTCCAGGCGGAGAGCCTTGGTCCAGGAGCCAGCAGTCCGCTGGTGAGTGGGTTTGTGGGGGCTGAGGAGAGCTGCTGCTGAACCACTTACAGAGAGTGAAGGACGAGAAATAGGGGGAGATGCTCTAAACAGCTCCGTTTGGAGCAGACAGGACCTTTAAGCGTGTGGGCTCCTTGGGGGTGGGCTGCGCTGCCCTATCTACTCTTTGTACGCGGGTGGGTCCTTTGCACGCAGGCCTGCTCTAAATTCCCTCAACTCGCACGTGTACATCTCCACCCTGGCCTGTCCCCTGACCTCTCAGCCAACGGTTTATACAAACCTCCACGTGGATCGCTCACAGGACTTCAGACTCATAATGGCCAGGACTGCGACCCTCATCTTCCTCTCAGCCTGAACTAGTCTCAGTCTGAACTAGATAAGAACTCTCAGTCTTATCTGTCTTGCCAAATGCACTACCATCCACCAATACAACTAAGCCAGACACCGGGAATGCAGTCTTTACTGTCTCCATCTCTCCTAGCTAGCTGCCATACTCAATTTCCAATTTCTCTTGCCTGTCTCTCCTAAATATAGACAATCTGATTGTTTTTTTATTAAGATATCATTGATATACACTCTTATGAAGGTTTCACATGAAAAACATTATGGTTACTACATTCACCCATATTATCAAGTCCCCCCATCCCGCACTGCAGTCACTGTCCATCAGTGTAGCAAGATGCCACAGAGCCACTGCTTGACTTCTCTGTGCTACACTGTCTTCCCTGTGATCCCCCACACAGACCATGTGTGCCAATCATAATACCCCTCAATCTCCTTCTCCCTCCCTCCTGACGCACCTTCCCCCACTCCTCCCCTTTGGTAATCGCTAGTCCCTTCTTGGAGTCTGAGCAGGCTGCTGTTTTGTTCTTTCAGTTTTGCTTCGTTGATACACTCCACAAATGAGGGAAATCATTTGGCACTTGTCTTTCTCCACCTGGCTTATTTCACTGAGCATAATATCCTCCTGCTTCATCCGTGTTGTTGCAAATTCTAGGATTTGTTTCTTTCTTATGGCTGAATGGTATTCCATTGTGTATATATACCACATGTTCTTTGTCCATTCATCTGCTGATGAACACTTAGGTTGCTTCCATATCTTGGCTATTGTAAAAAGTGCTGCAGTAAACATAGGGGTGCATATGTCTTTTTGAATCTGAGAAGTTGTATCCTTTGGGTAAATTCCAAGGAATGGAATTCCTGGGTCAAATGGTATTTCTATTTTTAGTTTTTTGAGGAACCTCCATATTGCTTTCCACAATGGTTGAACTAGCTTACACTCCCACCAGCAGTGTAGGAGGGTTCCCCTTTCTCCACATCCTTGCCAACATTTGTTGTTTTTAGTCTTTTTGATTCTGGCCATCCTTACTGGTGTGAGGTGCTATCTCATTGTGGTTTTAATTTGCATTTCCCTGATGATAAGTGATGTGGAGCATCTTTTCATGTGTCTGTTGGCCATATGAATTTCTTCGTTGGATAACTGTCTCTTCATATCCTCTGCCCATTTTTCAATTGGGTTATTTGCTTTTTGGGTGTTGAGGCATCTAAGTTCTTTATATATTTTGGATGTTAACCCCTTGTGAGATATGTCATTTACAAATATACTCTCCCATACTGTAGGATACCTTTCTGTTCTGTTGATGATGTCCTTTGCCATACAGAAACTTTTTAGTTTGATGTAGTCCCATGAGTTCATTTTTGCTTTGTTTCCCTTGCTCGATCAGATGCGTTCAGGAAGAAGTTGCTCATGCTTATATTCAGGAGATTTTTGCCTATGTTATCTTCTAAGAGTTGTATGGTTTCATGACTTACATTCAGGTCTTTGATCCTTTTCAAGTTTACTTTTGTGTATGGGTTAAACAATAATCCAGTTTCATTCTCTTACATGTAGCTGTCCAGGTTTGCCAACACCAGTTGTTGAAAAGGCTGTTGTTTCCCAATGTATATCCATGGCTCCTGTATTGTATATTAATTGACCATTTATGCTTGGGTTTATATCTGGGCTCTCCATTCTGTTCTATTGATATATGGGTCTGTTTTTGTGCCAGTACCAAATTGACTTGATTACTGTGGCTTTGTAGTAGAGCTTGAAGTCGGGGAGCATAATTCCCCCAGCTTTATTCTTCATACTCAGGATTGCTTTGGCTATTCTGCGTCTTTTGTGATTCCATATGAATTTTAGAACTATTTGCTCTAGTTCATTGAAAAATGCCATTGGTATTTTGATAGGAATTACATTGAATCTGTAGATTGCTTTAGGCAGGGTGGCCATTTTGACAATATTAAATCTTCCTATCCATGAGCACAGGATGTGTTTCCATTTATTGGTATCTTCTTTAATTTCTCTCATGAGTGTCTTGTAGTTTTCAGACTGTAGGTCTTTCACTTGCTTGGTTAGGCTTATTCCTAGGTATTTTATTCTTTTTGATGCAGTTGTGAATGGAATTGTTTTCCTGATTTTTCTTCCTGCTAGTTCATCATTAGTGTATAGGAATGCAACAGATTTCTGTATATTAATTTTGTATCCTGCAACTTTGCTGAATTCAGTTATTAGTTCTAGTAGTTTTGGGGTGGATTCTTTAGGTTTTTTTGTGAACAGTATCATCTCATCTACAAACAATAACAGTTTAACTCCTTCTTTACTAATCTGGATGCCTTTGATTTCTTTGTGTTGTCTGATTGCCATGGTTAAGACCTCCAGAACTGAAGTGGGGAGAGTGGGCATCGTTGTCTTCTTCCCGCTCTTAAAAGAAAAGCTTTCACCTTATCGCTGTTAAGTATGATGTTGGCTGTGGGTTTGTCATATATGGCCTTCATTATGTGGAGGTACTTGCCCTCTATACCCATTTTGTTGAGCGTTTTTATCAAGAATGGATGTTGAATTTTGTCAATGCTTTTTCAGCATCTATGGAGATGATCATGTGGTTTTTGTCATTTTTGTTGATGTGGTGGATGATGTTGATGGATTTTCAAATATTGTACCATCCTTGCATCCCTGGAATAAATCCTACTTGATCATCATGGATGATATTTTTGATGTATATTTTTGAATTCAGTTTGCTAATATTTTGTTGAGTATTTTTGCATCTAGGTTCATCAGGGATATTGGTCTGTAATTTTCTTTTTTTGTGGTGTCTTTGCCTGGTTTTGGTATTGTGTGATGCTGGCCTCATAGAATGAGTTTGGAAGTATTCCCTCCTCTTCTACTTTTTGGAAAACTTTAAGGAGGATGGATACTAGGTCTTCACTAAATGTTTGATAAAATTCGGTGGTGAAGCCATCTGGTCCAGGTGTTTTTGTTCTCAGGTAGTTTTTTGATTACCAGTTCAATTTTGTTGCTGGTAATTGGTGTTCAGATTTTCTGTTTCTTCCTTGGTCAGCCTTGGAAGGTTGTATTTTTCTAGAAAGTTGTCCATTTCTTCTAGATTATCCAGTTTGTTACCATATAATTTTTCATAGTATTCTCTGATAATTCTTTGTATTTCTGTGGTGTCTGTAGTGATTTTTCCTTTCTCATTTCTGATTCTGTTTATGTGTGTAGACTCTTTTTTTCTTAATAAGTCTGGTTATAAGTTTGTCTATTTTGTTTATTTTCTTGAAGAACCAGGCTCCTGCTTTCATTGATTCTCTCTATTGTTTTATTCTTCTCGATTTTATTTATTTCTGCTTTAATCTTTATTATGTCCCTCCTTCTACTGACTTTGGGCCTCATTTGTTCTTCTTTTTCTGTTTTCATTAATTGTGAGTTTAGACTGTCCATATGGGATTGTTCTTCGTTCCTGAGGTAGGCCTGTATTGCAATATACTTTCCTCTCAGCACGGCCTTCGCTGTGTCCCACAGATTTTGCAGTGTTGAGTTATTATTGTCATTTGTCTCCATATATTGCTTAATCTCTGTTTTTTATTCATCATCGATCCATTGATTATTTAGGATTATGTTGTGAAGCCTCCATTTGTTTGTGGGCTTTTTTGTTTTCTTTGCATAATTTATTTCTAGTTTCATATCTTTGTGGTCTGTGAGCTGGTTGGTACAATTTCGATCTTTTTTATTTTACTGAGGCTCTTTTTGTGGACTAGTATATGATCTATTTTTGAAAATGTTCCATGTGCACTTGAGAAGAATGTGTATCCTGCTGGTTTTGGTTGGGGTGTTCTGTAGATGTCTCCTAGGTCCATCTATTCTAATGTGTTGTTCAGTGTCTCTGTCTCCTTACTTATTTTCTGTCTGGTTGAACTGTCCTTTGGAATGAGTGGTGTGTTGAAGTCTCCTAAAATGAATGTTTTGCATTCTATTTCCCTCTTTAATTCTGTTAGCATTTGTTTCACATATGTAGGTGCTCCTGTGTTGGGTGCATAGATATTTATAATGGTTATATCTTCTTGTTGGACTGACCCCTTTATCACTATGTAATGTCCTTCTTTGTCTCTTGCTACTTTCTTTTTTTGGAGTTTTTTTGTCTGATATAAGTACTGCAACTCCTGCTTTTTTCTCCCTATTAGTTGCATGAAATATCTTTTTCCATCCCTTCACTTTTAGTCTGTGTATGTCTTTGGGTTTGAAGGGAGTCTCTTGTAGGCAGCATATAGACAGGTCTTGTTTTTTTATCAATTCAGTGACTCTATGTGTTTTGAGTGGTACATTCAGACCATTTACATTTAGGGTGATTATCGATAGGTATGTATTTACTGCCATTGCAGGCTTTGGATTCGTGGTTACCAAAGCTTCAAGGGTAGCTTCTTTACTATCTAATTGTCTAACTTCAACTCACTTATTATGCTGTTATAAACACACTCTGATGATTCTTTATTTCTCTCCCTTCTTATTCTTCCTCCTCCATTCTTTATTTTAGGTATTTTATTCTGTACTCTTTTGTGTTTTCTTTAACTGTTTTTGTAGATAGCTGATTTTATTTTTTGCCTTTAGTTAGTATTTAGTTGGTCTGCTTTCTTTGCTGTGATTTTATTTTCTCTGGTGACATCTATTTAGCTTTAGGAGTACTTCCATCTAGAGCAGTCCCTTTAACATACTGTGTAGAGGTGGTTTGTATGAGGTAAATTCCCTCAACTTTTGCTTATCTGGAAATTGTTTAATTCCTCCTTCAAATTTAAATGATAATCTTGCCAGATAGAGTATTCTTGGTTTGAGGCCCTTCTGCTTCATGCATTAAATATATCATGCCACTCCCTTCTGGCTTGTAAGGTTTCTGTTGAGAAGTCTGATGATAGCCTGATGGGTTTTCCTTTGTAGGTGACCTTTTTCTCTCTCTGGCTGCTTTTAGTACTCTGTCTTTGTTCTTGATATTTGCCATTTTAATTACTATATGTCTTGGTATTGTCTTCCTTGGGTCCCTTGTGTTGGGAGATCTGTGCACCTCCATGGCCTAAGGGACTATCTCCTTCCCCAGATTGGGGAAGTTTTTAGCAGTTATCTCCTCAAAGACACTTTCTATCCCCCTTTCTCTGCCTTCTTCTGGTATCCTTATAATGTGAATATTGTTCCATTTGGATTGGTCACACAGTTCTGTCAATATTCTTTCATCCCTAGAGATCTTTTTTTCTCTCTGTGCCTCACCTTCTTTGTATTCCTGTTCTCTAATTTCTATTTCATTTACAGTCTCCTCTATTTCATCTAGTCTGCTTTCAAATCCCTCCATTTATGTTTCATTTCAGATACTATATACTATATTCTTGAATGTTTGTATCTCATTCCTGAATTTGTCCCTTAGCTCTTGAATATTTTTCTGTACCACCATGAGCATGTTTATGAATTTTATTTTGAAATCTCAGGAAGATTGATGAGTTCAGTTTCACTTGGCCCTCTTTCTGGTGTTTGTGGGATTTTGGTTTGAACCAGTTTCCTTTAACATTTCATATTTTCATGTAGCACCCTCTAGTGCCCAGAAGCTCTACTCTCTGGAGCTGCTCAGTCCCTGGAGTGATGACAGGAGTCACAGGGGATCAGTGATGGTGCTTTTTGGGAGGAAAGGGGTCCTTCCTTTTTCCTGGCCGCAGTGCCTGTCTCCACTGCCAGGGCCAGTGGGTTGAGTTCACAGAGAGAAGCCTCTATGCTTTGTACTTGTAGCTGCCATTGGCAGGGCTGCCTTCTGACTGTCCTGGCACAATGGCAGGGGCATCTGGTTTGCAAGCTGGTGCCGGCTGGGAGGAAGGCGCAGCAGGCTGCATATCACGGTGGGGGGGCCTTAGAGCTTGTAGCTAGCCAGGGGGATAGAGCGCCTGAAGATGGTTTAAGCTCCCAATATTCTGGGCAGAGTGCGCCTGGACAATTTTGTCTACTGTTTTTTTCTCCTGAGCAGCAAGCTCTGTGCAATCCTTGCCCCTTTAGCAGCCCAGTCTCTGTTAAAAGTCTCTCAGACTGCCTGACTTTCTTTCATTCCCGAGTGGCCAGATGTGGATCCCTGTTTTCGTCAAGCGGCTGAAATCTCCATCTCTCCAAGTATTCTGACTGTCTTAGCTTTCCAACCCCTCTAATCTCCAGAGCACCATGTAATGTAGGTTCGTGCTCCCAGAGCAGATCTCCAGGGCTGGGTGTTCAGCATCCTAGGCCTCCGCCCCTTCCCCGCTCCATTTCTCTTCCTCCCTCTGTTGAGCTGGGGTGGGGGAAGGGCTTGGGTCCCTCCGGATCACAGCTTTGGTATGTTACCCTTTTCCTTGAGGTCTGCTAGTTTCCCCGTGTGTAGACAGTCCACTGAAGACTTTTTTCCTGTTGCTCTTTCAGGATTTGATGTATTTGCTATATTTTAATATTATATGTGGTTTTGGGAGGAGGTTTCTCTCTCACCTGTCATGCCACCATCTTTAATCTTTTTCTATTCAGATTAATTTTTACCTAGAATCCCTTTTCTGTTCCAGGATCCCATCCAGTGTATAAAACCATTATATTTAACTGTCATGTCTCCTTAGCCTCTTTTAGCCATAACAATTTCTTAGACTTGCCTTATTTTTTATGACACTGTTTTTTTTTATAATTGTAAGGTACATTTATGGATTGAACAGCACACATCTACCAAGTCATCCCCACCCCTTGCCCAGTGTCATTTGCCAAAACAGTTTGGGATTCACAGCCGCTGATCTACAACGTTTTTGTTTGTTTGAAACCTTTGACATTTGACATTTGAATCTGTCTGAGACCTTTCACAATGAAAACAATCAAAGTCAAAATAGTCAAGCCCACTATACTGTCTGTTCTATTTAGGTATTCTTTTATTCAAGCAATATTTGCTAGACAACTATTATATGTTTGTACTATAGTCTGTGCTAGGAATACAGAAATGAACAGAACATATCTCCAGTCCTTTCCTCCATGGAGCCTACATTCCAGTCAAAGAGGCAGGAAAAAAACAAACAAACTAGCAAACATATAAAATGATTCTGTCTTGTGTTAGAGCTGCAAAGGAGAAAAATGGAGATAGGAAATAACAGGGTGTGGGACCTGCCTTCGGGAGGGCAGTCCAGGGACCTCAAAGCTGAACTAGGAAAGGTAGGAAAGGGGGTGAAGGTGCTGGAGAGGACGGGCATTCCAGGCCTAGAGAGCAGCATGTGCAAAAGCCCTTAGGCAAGAAAGAAGTAGTGAAGAACTGGAGAAGAGCTGGAGCAGAGAAGAGTCAGAGATGAAGTTGGAGAGGCAGGTCTGGATCAGATCACGCTGGGCCTTATAGACTAAGTAACAAGTTTGGGTATTGCTACAAGTTCAGTGGAAGGACATTAAAGGCTCTTCAGCAGGGAGGGGACATGATCAGATTTGGAAGGACACTGCTATAGCTCTCGAGTGGTTAGAAGGAGTGGGTGTTGCAGTGGACAGGCTGGCTAGGGGACTGAGGTAGTGGTCCTGCTTGAGCATGATTTGTGGTTTGCAGCCTAAGGAGAAACTCATGGTTCATTTATTATTAATTAAATAAATAATAGTAATTAATTATCAATGTGTTCACATAAAGATGGTTTTCAGATCCATGAGATTGGATGAAATAACCTATGGAGAAGGCTGTATGTAACAAAGTATCAAAAACTTGGCACATGTTTATTGTCTAACAGTTCTGGAAGTCTGAAGTCCAGAATCAGTTTCACTGAAATAGATCAAGGAGCCAAACAAGCTCCCTCCAGAGGCCCTAGGGGAGAACCTGCTCTCTGGCTTTCTAGCTTTCAGAGCAGCATTCTTTGTCTTGTGGCCTCTTCATCCATCTCCAAAAGCAGCAGCAGAGCACCTTAGTTCAGTTGTCACACTGCCTTTTGTAGTCCAATCTCCCTCCGCCTCTCTTTTAGAAGCACAGTTATGATTGATTTATGGCCAATCTTGGTAATCTAGTATAAACTCCCCTTCTCAAGATCATTAACTTGCTCATTACCTGCAAAGCCCTTTTGGCCATAAAAGTTAACATTCACAGGTTTGGGCATTATGACATGGAATCTTTAGGGACATTATTCACCCTGTCCCAGAGGGCACAAGAGAGAAAAGGGTCCACAGGCCCTGAGACAAGCTAACATTTAAGTCATACAGAGGAAGAGGAACTAACGAGAGACTGAGAAGGAATAGCAGTGGAGGAAGAAGGAAGGCTGGTTGGGGGTCAGAACCAAGGGACTAGAAGGTGTTTAGAAGGAAGGGGCTGTCAGTTGTGGCTGAGAGGTTAAGTAAGGTAAGGCTGGGGAAGAAGCCAGTGGAAATGGCATCAAGGTTGTAGATTTAATGGCAGCCATTTGCCATGTGGGGGACAAGGCCCAGTGGATTGGAAGGCTGTGGGATGGGACAAGGAATGCATGGAGCGACATGGTACAGACAGCAAGTGTGGACAGTGCTTTAAAGAATAGAGAAACTGGATTGGAAGGGTTATGAAGTTAAGCACAGTGACTCTTTGTTTTCTGTTTTTATGGTGGCTATTGCCTGATAACTTCATGCAGGAGAGAGAAGTGATAGTTGAGGGAATGGAGTCTTTGAGAAAGCAAGAAGGAATGAGGTCCAGTCAAGTGAGAGACTGGCCCTCCTAGAATCAGGGACACTTCTTCCTCCATAACAGAAAAGATGTGTGTAAACTTGGCTGATTTTCTCAAAGGAGTGAGGTTGAGAATGAAGAAGTGTAGTACATTTGAGGAAACAGTGTTTAAGGAAAGTCATATTATTTGTGGAGATGTACTGTTATTTTGTTTCACTTCTCCTAACAGGTATAACTAGGATAGTTGCTAAGTATATAAAAGATAATTCTCTTTTAACCAGGCCCCTGCCTCAGGTCTAGTGACAATTTTAGTGGGGGGAAAAAAAAGCAAATAGCCATCATAATATGTGAAACTTTATTAGAGAAATGATATAATCAACTATTTTGTGGTTTCATTTTCATTAAAAAAATAAACTAAGAGAAAAGGAAAAAACTTACAACTAAGTAATTTGTTATCTAGGTGAATTATAAATAAGGCATTTATCATAATTATAATGAAATGATACAGCCTACCCATGAAAACTGTAGAAAACATACTACAAAATCACATCATTGGTTAGCAGGCTGGAATTCAAATCCTTTGGTATCCTGTTTCATAATCACAGTCAAGCAAACTATGAACAGAACTATTAGCATTTACATCCTGTTTTATGTAAGACTATAGCTTCTATCAAATTATCCATTTCCCCTCACCAAAGATGAAGATGAAAAAGTATGAAAGGTCCCTCCACCAGAGTATATATTAGGTGTTCCTTGTTCGCCTGGGCATCCAAATGATCCATTCCTAAGACAGATGAACTGATATCACTCATCTGGCATAGACATGGGCATCACAGGGCATCTTGCCTGGAGCTAAGGGCAATTTCTCCCCCTAGTGTTAACAATGTTGCTTTTATCAATCTTATGCCTAACCTTTAGGCACACATACAGAGAGTACGGATTGCCTTGTAATGGGTTGAATTTAGTTGTTCAATATTCTGTTTTTGCATATGAGCCTTGAAAACTGTGGTAGATATTTCCAAAGCCAATTTAATGGTTTAAAAACTTGTCAGTGGGCTTCTCTTTTTCTAGACTTTCCATTTCTTTCTTTCTTTTTTATTTTCTCCCCCGTTAAGGTCTATGGTCTTTAAGAGGCATGGGATCAAGGATTTTGTGAGATCCCTTCTCTTCCCAAGCAGTCAGCTGCATCGACAAATCCTTCCTGTTGCTTCTCACATGATGAAACTGTTTTTATTTCCTAGAAGATGGAGACCTGGGAAGATCTCCCTGGGTGAATGAAAATGAGACTCGAGACTCAAGCCCAGACTTGCTTCCTGAAAAGTTTCCCTCTCTCTTGGGAGCTCCCATTACACTCTTTGGGATCTGTCTGACTCACAATGCGAGAACCCAGCCTGCTATTTTACAAATTCCAACCCTCCACATTCTGAAGCAGAAAATAAACTCTCTAGTTAGTTTTTGAAAACTATAAATGTCGCCATGGAAACATGACAAAAACATCTAACATGAAGTGAGTTATAAACATGCAAGTATGTCTACAGGTTTGCATAAAAACAGCAATTTTTTTAAAATGCTCATAACTTTGCGTTTTGTAGCAGACAGTGCACAGGCTATTTATAGTAAAGTGGAAAAGGCCAGGAGAGCTGGCTAAAGCCTCCAAAAAATTCATCTGGTCAAATTCTATCAGCAGATACTGACTCAGACATTTCCATGAACTCACAAAGTTATTTTTCCTGGACCAACTAAGAGAAGTGTCTTACATAACAGTGCTGAAAAATTGGTGCCATTCCAGTTAAGATGTCTGAGGCAGTATAATTCTTTCCCAAAGTAGTCCATCTTACAGAAGCTTTGATGGTTAGCTAAGAAAGCGCTCTCTAATCTAAGAATCGTGAACGATGGAAAATAAAGATATCTTTGAGAGGGTCTCCCCACTTCAGCAAATTCACTCAGAGAACAGACTGAGTTTGTCCTTTCGGTCACACCTTCTCCTCTTTCTGTATTTTATACCTGAGGATTATTCACAGCCCATTAAAAAACAAATAAATAAAAGCAAATTGCTTTGATTGTATTCCTGAGTATCAGACCCTGATCTAGGATACAGTGTCAACCTCCCTCGGCGAATGATGCCTTGTTTGGCTTCCCTGCTAAGGAAAGCCAGCGGGTTCACAGAGCATCCGTGGGGAGCGCACAGGACTGGACTTGCTGATATGCCACCTGCTTCCTCCCAGAGCGCAGCCTAAGGGAGAGAATCACCGTGGAGATCAGGAGGAAGAGGCCGATGATGAAAAGGATGACCAAGGCTTGTTTGGCTCCTCTAGGTCCTAGATTCTTGCCGAAGAAGTAGAGCTGCTCCTTGCCGGGTTCTCCTGCGAAAAAGAAAAATGAGGTATCAGGCCGCTGCCTTTCCCTGGGGAGTGAACACCGACCGTTCATAGGCAGGATTCGGGGAGGGTATTATTACCGGTGGAAGGCACTGTGACTGGGTGGGATGCTCCCCCAGGAGACTTGGTGGAGTAAGGAATCCTGTTGTCTGGACAAAGAAGACAAGTTGATTGTTTTATAAACAACAGAAGTAGATAACTTTGCATGACATGAGTTCTTTCAAGAGTCTTGTCATTCCGCCAATGAGGACTTTATCCCATCGGTACCTGCAAGTCTTTCTTGGAGTCTCACTGTACTGTTTCATGCCAGTGCACATGTTGTTCCTACCCCATCTACTTTTCAAGCTTCTGCTCACCTGTTAAGGTCCATCTGAAGCACTACAACCTCTGTGGAACCTGGCTTATATCCCCAAACTGTTTTCAATGCTTCCTACAGCTGCCACTGAACCCTGTATTCTGTACTCTCTTTTGGCATGTATCATATTCTATTACAGTTACTATTGACATGTCTTTCCCTCTTACTGGACCCTGAGCTCATTGCAGCCTCTGATGCCCTCTGTGCTCAGGGTCTACAAGAAGCCTGGTACTATCACTTGGAATCACTGACAGAAAACAGTACCTATGTTCGGAAGGATAGTATAGGTTGTCTCCATGCCAGCATGGATGTGATCAGTCACATGACAATGTAACAGCCATGTCCCTGGGTGATCTGCAAATAATTCGATGGTCTGGAATGTCCCAGGGAAGAGATCATACACGTCTCCTCGGTAAGATTTATCTATCTTCAAAAAGAAGGAAATAATAAAGATAAGAGCAGAAGTCAATAAAAATTGAGAATAGAAAAATAATAGAGATAAATCAAACCCAAAGCCGGTTCTTTGCACAGATCAATAAAATTGGTAAACCTGTGGTAGCCAACTCCACAATGGCCCCCCAGTGATCCCTGCCTCCTGGTATCCATAACCTTTGTAAAAGTCCCCTCCTACATTGTGTGAGGGTTGGTCTGTGAGAACAGTAGCATATGGCAGGAGTGAAGGCATTCTGCTTCTGAGAGTCTTAGACCTTCTGTCTTGCTCTCCACTTGAATCACTGGCCTGTGATCCCATGCCAGCTTCCATGCCATACCCACATGGTGAGGAATGGAAGACTCTAGTTTATGCCTTGGGAGTGAGTTTGGAAGTAGGTCCTCCAACCCCAGTCAAACCTGATGACTGTGCTCCAGCTGACATCTTGGTTGCAGTCTCATGAGAGATGCTAAATCAGAGCCAACTAGGCAAACTACTACCAGGTTTCTGATTCAGAGAAATTATGAGATAAAAAGTATTAACTGTTTTAGGCCACTAAGTTTTGGAATGATTTGTGTTACAGCAATAAATAGATAACTAATACAATCCTCTAGAAAAACTGACCAAGAAAAAAGACACAAATTACAAATAACAGGAATGAAAGAGAAGACATAACTAAGATGTTACAGACCTTGAAAAGAATAATAAATATTATGGACAACTGTCCATGAATTGTACTGTTTAGACAGTAGGGACAAATTCCTTAAAATGGAAACTATTCAAGATCACTATTCAGGCTATCTATTAAAGAAACTGAAATTATATTAAGACCTTATAACTAATTAAATTCCAGGTCCAGTTGGCTTCATTGGCAAATTATACCGAATATTTAAAGAAGAAATGATACCAATTCTAACAAACTCTTCCAGAAAACAGAAGAGGAGGAAACACCTCCAACTCATTTTAGAAGTCAGAATTACCCAAAACCAGGCAAATACTTTGCAAGAAAAGAAAGCTACTACCAATTTTCTTCATGAGTATAAATGCAAAAATCCTTAAAACACTAGCAAATTGAATCTAGCAATACATAAAAATGATAATGCTTTGTGATGAAGTTTATCCTTGGAATGAAAATTGGTTCAACATTTAAACATCAGTTAATGTAATTCACCAATTACTAAAAAAATCATCAATAGATTACCTAAGAAAATATCTCAATAGATGCAGAAAATACATTTGATAGAATTTAACATCTGCTTATGATAAAAACCCTCAGCAAACTAAGAATAAAAAGAAATTTCCTCAACTTGATTGAGGATTATATGAAGATTATAAAAAACCTACAGCTCATCTTATATTCCATAGTGAATGACTAAATGCTTTAACCCTAGGATTAAGAATTAAGGATATTCACTGTTACCATTCATATTCAACATTATACTAGAGGCCTTAGCCAGTGCAAAAATGCAAGAAAAGTAGTAAAAGGCATACAGATTGAAAATAAATAAACCCATCTCTATTCACAGACAACATAATTGTCTATGTTGGAAATCATCCTCCCAAAATTTACAAAAAGGCTACTGGAAATGGTTTAGTAAAGTTGCAGGATACAAGGTCAATTATACAAAAAAATTACGTATATTCCTATATATTGGTAATGAACAATTTGAAGGTGAAATAAAAACAATGTCATTTATACTATCACCAAACCCATAACATACTTAGGTAATAATCTAACAAAATATATGCAAATTCTGTATGCTGAAAACTGTAGAACACTAATGAATGAAATCAAAGGAGATGTAAATAAATAGAGAAATATGCTGTGTTCATGGATTGAAAGACTCAATATTATTAAGGTATCAATTCTGCCCAAATCAATGTACAGATTCAGTGCAAATCTGATAAAAATCCCAGTAGATTTTTTAAATAGAAATCAACAAGCTGTTTCTAATATTTATGTGGGAGGCAAAGATCTTGAATAGCCAAATAATCACTACCTGATTTCAAGACTTACTGTTACACTAAAGTAATCAAGACAGTGTGGAATTCAAGAAAGGACAGATACATAGATCAGTGTAACAGAATAGCCTAGAAAAAGACCCATATATAATGATCAATATTATTTTGACAAAGTGGGAGAAAGAATCTTTTCAATGAATAATGATGAAACATTTGGACATCTATATGCAAAAATTAAGCCTCAAACCATATGTGAAAATTAAAGTCAATCAGAGACCTAAATATAAAACCTATAACTGGAAGAAGAGAACCTTTCTTCTTGAAGAAAACCTTTGACCTTGAGTTAGGCAGAGATTTCTTAGATATGACACCAAAAACATGATTCATTAAAAAAAAAAGATAAATTAGACTTCATCAAAATTAAGAATTTCTTTGCTCTTTGAAAGATAATGTTCAGGGAATGAAAGATAAACCACAGATTGGGAGCAAATATTTGCAGTCACATATCTGCCAAAAGAGTTTGTATCTAGAATATTTAAAGCTCTCAAACTTAACAATAAGGAAACAACCCAATTAACAAATGGGCATAAAATTTGGACTTTTCACCAAAGAAGATTTACAGATGGCAGATAGTAAATAAGCACATGAAAACATGCTCTGTCATTAGTCACAAAAAAAAGACTAAATAAAAATAATGAGATACCATTACACACATAATAGGATGGTAAGGAAAAAAATAAAATAAAATGGAAGATACCAAGTGCTAGGATGTATGTGAAACAAATGGTGCTTCATTTATTTCTGGCGAGAATGCAAAATAGTACTGCCTCTGTGGAAAATAGTTTGGCATTATTATAAGGTTAAGCATACACTTACCACATGGCCTAGCAGTCCCTACTCCTAGGTAGTTTCTTAAGAGAAATGAAAACTTATGTTCACACAAAAACATGTGCACAAATATTTATAATAGCTTTATTTATAATAATAAAAAACTGGAATCAACCCGAGTGTTCCTCAACAGGAGAGTGGATAAAGAAATGGCAATAGATACATACAATGAATACTACTCAGCGATTGAATGGAACAAACTACTAATACACACAACAAGATGAATGCAATTCAAATGCCTGTTCTCAGTGAAACAAGCCAGACTCAAAATGCTACAAGCTATAGAGACAGAAAATAGATCAGTGGTTGCCAGGGGTTAAGTGTAGAGAAGTAGCTAACTGTAGAGGGTGCAACGGGCATTTTAGGGGGTGATAGACATGTTCCGTGTTTTCATTAGTGTTGATCACACCACATACAGTGTTCTTTCAAAACAGAACTGTCCACTAAATAGGCTGAATTTTACTCAATGTGAATCACACCTTAATTTTCAAAGTTTACATATGCATATAAAACATTAAAAATATAAATAATTTTTACATACTTTTTATAATTTCATAAACTTTAAAAGTTTTTAATATCATGTAAAAATATGGGTTGAAAAAGCCAACTCTGAAAAGCAGCATAGCCATTCACTATGTGAAACTGTGATGATTGTAGGCTAATACTTGGTGTCTTAAACTATGTTGGATAAATACACAAAGGAGAGAAGATATTAGATGTTTTATTAAAGTTACTGTTCATTATTCTTTTATAACTATAAAAGAACTAGTGCAGGTTTTCCCCACAGATTAGATGTGATTATTCTTTCTATTTTACTTCCTCATAGATTGTTGAATGACGGGCTTGAATTTACCCTTGAGATTCTGATTCATCAGGTTTGGGTGGGGCCTGGCAATCAAACAGTCCCCCAGGTGATTCTGTACAGCCAATACCACACATATGGCACAGCTTGATGCTGTACCACCAGAGCAAAAGTCAAGATAAAGTTTTGGGGCCCACGCCAGCGCTGGAAATACCTCCTTAACTGGGTAGGGCTATTCTATTGGCTGATCACATAGATAAGAAAGGAAAACAAGGACAAAAACACTACAGGGGCTTTCATATTCAATATTAAGAGCATAATTATCAGTGGTAAAGATTATCCCAGTATATATAACTGATAAGAAAACTCTGAGGTTTGGAAGCATTTTACAAGCACAATAAGATATATGTACATAATAAGAAATACCTACCAGGAGAAGGGTATAATCACATTATTCTATTCCATTCTCTAATATGAACCACCACCACTCACAAGCTTAAATGCCAAATAACCCTCTTTTTTTACAGTGGAAATGCATTGAATCTTTTCATTTAAAAAGTCTTCCTCAAAGCTTTTTCCTTTTACTTACTTTGAAAAGAAAGCTTTCAGCATGATAATGGACAGTATGTATGTCCACTTCACTTCCAATTCCTAACAAATACCAGTTTGTCATTGTATCTTCATTCATGATGAGGCCATGGAGATTCCCAAAAATCTTTCCGTTAATAGCTAAGAAGGTGAAAGAAAATAGCCTTTGATTAGTGATCATTACTTAATCTGGTTTTAGAAATAGTTCAAGGAGATCTTTAGGTTACCAATATTTTCTCTTACCTGATACACATGTAACAATCTCATTCACACTTACCAGTGTTTCTACCCTTGGAGACCCCAAATTCAGATTAATAAGAAATCCTTATAAAGAGGGTCAGAAAAGAGAAATAGCAGTGTATTTTGAAAAGCTACATTTTGGATAGCAGTGAATCTTGATGGAGTGGATTACAGGTTCATTTTTGAGATAGCCAGATGTATACCGTTTTACAAAGAGGTGGACTAAAGCATAGAGAGTTCAGCTTATATAAATTAAAATAGAAGGAATTAGAAGCCATTTCCTTAATATTTCACTTTCTGAGAACCAGCCTGGGGCAAGTTCCTAAGCCTGGTCAAATCACCAAAAGAAGGAAAGCTGTGACCCTGCTGAGCCCGTGACTCACAGGGACCAAAGCAAGCTGAAGATGCCTTGAGGTGATGGGGGTTCCCACGCCTCTGCTTTCTATTAACTATTCGGTGCGTCGTGGCACAACAAGTGAGTTATAGTCATTAAAAAGAGAAAGCATATGAAGAAACTTTTGGGAGAGGGAAGCAACATTGTAGCATCAAGAGTAGCTTAAATCAGAAATCAGGATACTGTATTTTAATGTTAGCAACTAACTAGCTTTTTGATCTTGGGCTAGGTTTTTCTTTTTGTACACTGTTGGTCAAAAGTAAATCTTGGTGGGAGTGTGGATGTGTTCATTAGAACACATGACTCCCACTTAAGGAAAAAACTACCTAACAGTCACATTAAAACAGAGACTTGGTGATGGCATCTCATGTCCCAGAGACACTTAAACCATGCCCTTAAATTTGATCAGCTAGAGGTTATGGTGTATTCTTACAGAAATAGATCAATAAGCGATGATTCCTCTTTTAAGAGTTACTTCAGTCTTATAGTTTAGGGATCCCAGCATTCAGGTACAGGCTCCCTAAACTGATGGTCCAAAGTTTCACTGGACCTTGCTAGCACTCAACCAATGGCTAGACTGGTTCCCTTTGAAAGAAAGCTTTAGGGGACTTTCTTCAGCCCAGGTGCCTCTGGGAATGGACAAGAGTTCAGAGAAGGAGGTGGGGGACCTCCTACAGTTATAGTAATTTCTATGAGCTTATCTCAACAGGGTCTTCTCTTTAAACCTCAGATGTACCATGCATTTTGTTGCTCTCTTCAAAATCATCAGTGCGCTTAAAATCCCGTGGGTCTTTATTGAGGTACTTCTTAATATTATCATCCAGATACCAAGATTCATTCTCATTAAATATCAAAAACAAGAGAACAAATTCATAATCAACATCACTTCTTCTTCCCTTGTCATTCAACACTCCTTCTCTGCATGTAATCAGAGGGCCCATCAAACCACTATATGTATCCTGAAAGAAAAATAAACCGAATTAGAAGAACCTTTAAATTATTTAACAGTAAAGATCCAAGTGTAAGAAAGTCTTTTTAAAAAGACTACTGACCACCAAATAAGTCCTAAGAAGTCCTGAAGAATCAGAGTGATCTTTAGGAAAATGTAGGAGTATTCCTAAAAATTTGCTGCAGAGTGAGCTCTTTGAGGGCTGAAGCTGTGTCCTTCACTCATCACTGAATTTCCGGGGCATAGTCCAGTGCATAGTATGTAGGAGGTGCTCAACAAATATTTGTTAAATAAATTAATGCTTATGTCTATTTTCCTGGTTGCTGTCCAAATGAGACTTTACTTATATCTATAGGCAAACCTTGTTTTATTGAGCTTTGCTCTATTGCACTTCCGAGATATTGTGCTTTTTACAAATTGAAGCTTTGGGGCAACCCCATGTTAAGTAAGTCTGTCGGTGCCATTTTTCCTTTGGTGTTTGCTTAATTCATGTTTCTGTGTCATATTTTGGAAATCCTCCAACTATCTCAAACTTTCATTACCATATTTGTTATGGTGATTGGTGATCAGTGATTATGACTCACAGAAAGCTCAGATACCATTTTTTAGCAATACTTTTTAGTTATGGTATTTACCTTTTTTTTAAGACATGATGCTATTGCACATTTAATAGACTACAATATAGTGTAAACATAACTCTCATATACATTGGGAAACCAAAAGGTTCATTTGAATTGCATGATTGTTATATTTGTTTTGTTGTGATGGTCTATCCAGTGTATATACATGCTTATACTTTCCTTGGGTACAAGTGAACTGGGCAATTAGTAAATGATGCGGGACCGTGGATGACCTCCATGTCAAATTGTACAGCCCTGGGCCTTCCCTTGAAGGAAAACTCCCATATTTCTAACTGCCTATTGAGATATTTCATCTGGGTGTGCTTTCCTGAAATCATTCAATCTGCTAAGTGTTTTTAAAGTGGATTTTATTATTCCCCTCAAACCATTTCCTTCTCCTGAATTCTGTGTTAACAGCATCGTGCTATTCCTTGCCATTTAGGTCAGAAAACTCTATTTTAAATGTTAACTCTTCTTTTTTCTCACTTTGTCCCATCTCATCTGTTGTCAGATCTTCCTTTTCTTTTCCCTTCACTGTGCCTCTCTATTCTGTGACTTACTTCCCATTCCATCTGCCACCTTACGGTGTAGAATCTTCATACCTCACCCTGGACTAGAAATTGGGTCCTCTCTAGTCTCGCTCACCTCACCTTCAACCCATCCTGTTGACCACTATCAGATTAATCTCATTCTCCCATATCTAGAACTGTTGAAGTGATTTTCCAGTGATACTACTACTGAATAAAATATAAATCCTTGATAGGTCCTTAGGTCTGTCATATGCTCCCCCATGAACTTTTCTAGCTTGTTTCCCCACTGCTTTCCTTCTGTACCTTATATGATAGCAAAATGGGACTCTCAACATTTCTCAAATATACCTTCTACTTTTCCTATTTTCAACTTTGTTCATAATATTCTCTCTTCCCAGACTCTTTCCAATGCCTCCTAGATAGTTCTGCACTGCCCAAGAACTCACCAGATTCAGAGTTGTATTATAAGTTGTATTAAGGGTGTGTGCAATATATTATTTTCTGCAAAGATTACAAATTCCTTCAGGACAAGAATATCTGCATCTCTCAGAATACTTAGTAGGGGTCATTTGCACATCACAAGTGCTCAATAAATACTTGTTGGGATGCACAAAGGAATAGATAAATGTGGGTTTCCCATAATTCCAATATGTAAGTATATTTTTCAAGTGCCTTACGTGCCTCTCCTGAGTTCTTGCATTGCCCAGTACAACTCAAAGACATTAATGCAGCCATCTAATATTTACGCAGAAAGTTAAGATAATTATTTATTTCAAACTACTACCTTGTAAATTATAAATTTGATAATGGAAACTGGGATTTTGGTTTTTTTCCCCCATACTTTGGACCAAGGTTCAGCAGACTCTTTTTTTATACAGTGTCAGATGCAGAAACTCTTTTTGGTAAAGTGACAGATAGTAATATTTATTACTTTGTTAGTCATACCATTTCTGTCACAACTACTTTTAAAAGAAAAAGATAACAGGCTCAAAATGGAGTCACAAGTGTACCAAACCAGGACTTAAAAGCCTCTCCCAGGAGTGGAATCTTAAACCAATCAATCTGGAATTACCTGGTCAGCACTTGATAGAACTCTGCTATCCACTAAAGGAAGGTGATCTTGCCACACATCATCTACTCTTTGCTAGTATCTTCTTTGCCCCACCCCTTTTGCCTGTGAAACACTTGATTTTTGGGCAGCTCTTTGGAGTCCCTTTCTATCTGCTAGATGGGATGCTGCCTGTTTTATGAGTCATCGATAAAGTCAATACGATCTTTTTATTTTACTCAACTGAATTTTTTTTTAACAGCTTTGGTGGCAGCAATGGGCTCCAAAGGACACTTCTGATGGCTTTGCAGATGACCAACACAGGCATGATACCCTGTGAACTCTTTGAGTTCCCTGTCTTTCTCACTGTTTCCAAGGCTGTGGGTAAGTTCGTCTCAGTTCTGAGCTCCATATCTTTGTGTTGAGATCCCGATCTAATTTGCTTTCCACAGTTCCCGATTTGATTGGAGTCCCCACCCCTTGATTCATCACCCAGAGTACATGTTGGGAACCACTGGTGGTTCAGTCTGCAGTTCCCATATTTGTTTGGAAGCCCATATGGGCCACTTGCAGAGTCAACGAGACTCTAATGGATGGATATTCAGGCGAATTGCTACATTATTCCCTTAAACAGCCAAGGAGAACTAAAATTAAAAATGACTGTAAACCTTGCCAAATTCTGATAGATACTAGAGCTTGCAGAGGGGATCTGGGAAAACTGGCAGAAAGCAGTGAAGAATAAGAATTCTTATGAGAGTCAGCTCTCCTGAATCTCTAATGCTCAGTTGAGAGGGGAAAATAACATTTCACATTGTCCCTTCCTTTCCAAATTCAGACCCGTTGCTATTGATCCTTTCTCTCCCACAGATAGCTGTTGCCTTCTCGCTTGTGTTATTTTGTGTCCTAAGAGCTTGGCTTGATTTTCTGCCTGCTTGGGACATACAGGTTGTTGGTTCTCTTGTGCGACTGTCTTTGGGAATGACTCTGGTTCTTGAGTAGATAGTATCCTTTGCGCCCTCGTTGGAGGCCCCTCTTACATCCAAGGCAAGGGGTTATTCAGTACAGCGAGAGATATTTACTGTTTGTCCTGGCTGAAAACTGACAAGACACTTTTAAGAACTTTTAAAGTAGCCCTGTGGTCAGAAGTTGGCCAAATTGGAAGCTGGTACTCAGAGCCTGATAGGAACTTTTTTTGAAGGCCTCCTTCTCTAAGCAGAAATGAAAATATATATCCAGAGGGAAAGACAAAACTTCTGGAACCTCTGCAGAAGGATTTATAAAATATTCAAAGACAAACAGCTCTAAATCCAAAACATAGAAATCTTTTGATTTTTTATCCTGGTTGGAATTCCTCTCCCTGACATGAAAAAAACAAAATGAAGATAATGTGGTCAGTGGGCAGAAAGGTATCAGTTAGGCTGCAACCCAATTCTTTGGGGTTTTAAATTTACAATTCTTCACAAAACCAGAAATGCAGCTATATAAATAATTCAAAGTCTACCTATTCTTTTTACCAATCCCAGAACCTCCCTTATTTATCTTAACAGGCTTGTATTATAAAAATTCTGTCCTTAGGGAACAAAAGTCCTTCTTGGAGGAGCTTGCCTTCTTTCCCTGTGCCTCTGAAATGTAAATGTTCTACTTTGTCTTTTCCAGGAACTTTTTCTATCTAGACCATCTGTTTGAAATACAAATTTTAGGGAGGTGGTTCTTATCAGAACAAACACAACAGAAGGAAAGGTTATTTGGTACTTGGGCAAATGAAAAATCTTAAGTGTCTTCTCCACAAGTATTAATAAAAAGTTTTAGCCTTTTGAGCAGGTAACCTTAACTTGTTCCGTCTGACAGGAACATAATTTGGATCTGCCTTCTTTTATAATCATTGAATTTTATATTTTTGTACTTGATTTATGGCTAAAATTTTAGAACAGCAGCTATAAGCTTTCTGTTTATGACTGTATATTTATGAGTGTCTCTATAATGTGTTGTAGATGTGCGATATTTTCTACCCCAGATGGTATTGCCAAAATTAATTTGTAAAAGAGCTCTATTTAATTGACTTAAAGAAAATTAAGCACTTATATGAGCTCATAAAATTCTCAAAATAATAGAAACCAACCTGAATGCTTTTTGGGTTTGCATAATCTGGAAAATATTTGGTATTGAAGCTTATTTAAGTTTGTTGGTTTAATTAAAATAGACATGTCTTTAGAGTTAGCAACATTAAATATAAGGCAGACGTACAACTATTGTTCTACCAGGGTTTATTAGTCAAATAAATTCATGTTATCTCTGTAACAAAATTTGTCAGCGAGAAAAACAACTTGGTATGATGAAACTTTCACAACTGTTATAAGCATAATGTTTGAACAAGTGATTTAAATATATATAGGGGGGATAAGAGTGCTTAGGTGAACTTGTCAGCAATAATTATATTTTTTGGTAAATCTACTTAGTCTCCCCAAATCTTTTTGGTAACTTAAAACTTCATGAGTTTTGTTAGATGAAATTAAATGATAGGTAGCCATTAAATGTTTAGGTTATTTCCAAATAAAATGCTGAAGCACTAATTACAGAAAATAGGTTTACATACTTTCTGTTTGGTTTCGTATTACCAAGAAACTTAAGATATTTGGGTTCCTAAGTGCACATATTTTGTGCCACAGTGAAAAATTTACTATGAGGAAGAATGTATTTCTAGAAGTTGTGAAATATGTTTATAAATTTGCCAGTCCACAGCACTCTAATGTAAAAGTTAAGCTGAGAGTCTGATCGAAAGGGGGGCACTGTTTAAAAAAACAAAGAGAGAGAGAAAGATAACAGGCCCAAGGTAGAGTCACTTGTACTAAGCTCTAGTCACCAGACTTAATACCTAACTTAATCACAGTTTCAACATTCCCAGCAGTGGTTTTAAACCAGTCAACCTGGAATGGCCTTGTCAGCACTAGTGAGGGATTCTGCTTGATAGACCTCTGCCATCCCCTAAAACAAGGTAACCATGTTATGGACAGTCCCTACTTTGCTGTAATTTCCTTGTCTTATCCTATTATTCCTGTAAGTCTTGCATTCCTGTAAGTAACTCTTTTGGGTTCCTTTCCATTGGCTGGTTGTGATGCAGCCTGCCTGATTCATGAATCACTGCATTAAGCCTTTAAAATTTACCCAGTTGAATTTTGTTTTTTAATACTGCAACTCAACTATTGGCAATGTTAACAGACAGACATCGCCATAGTTTGAGACCTCTGCTCTAAACCATTACACCCCTTCACATACACCCACCAGAGTTGTGAAATTTGAATAGACAACTTAAAGCCATAGTACCTTTAAGCATTTCAGTTGCTTTTTCCACCTTACCTTCACAAAATTTACTGTTGAATAGTAAACCCATGGAATACAATTTGGGTCAGATGGCCCTGGACCAGACCTTTTAGGGACATTCCATCTGTAAGTTTTTATTTCTCCTGAAACAAATGAGAAGAAATAGAAAGAATTTATTAGTGTTACCTCCATTCCAGGTGACTTACCTGTAGAAATACATACAGATCTTTATATATTTTACATAATGGTTATTCCTGGGAAGAATGACCCATTCACTAGAAGTGTTGTCATTAAACATCTTGATTTTCTGCAGTTTCAAAATGGCTTATTTTTCATTTCAAATTACAGCCTTACCTCCAATTTGCCCTTTCTATTAGCAGTTGACATTTATTCAGGATATGAGGATTTACTTTGTATTTCACTGTTTTTTCTCCTCAAATTTCGTACCTCCCTCTCAAGAGTTAGCTTGAGCACACCTGAGTTACTGAGGGACTCAGCCTTGGCTTCTTAAGGAATTGCTGGGATGTTCACGGCTCATCCCAAACCATTGAAATTAGAGTATCTGGGGTCTGGGACCAGGGCATCAGCATTTTTTGTTTTTCAGGCAATTCTAATATGCAGACAGGTGAGATCTAGTTAGAAACACAGAATCAGAGGGACCTAGTTTTGCATTCCTATTTACCCAACCTTTGACAAGCTACTTAACTTCACTGACCTTTAGTTTTCATATTTGTGAAGTAGGTTAGTCATCCCAGTTTACAGATTGTTGGGAAGATTAAGTGAAATAAAACATTTGGAATAGTGTCTCATATTGAAGGCAGTCAATAAATGTTAATTTGTATGTATAATGATAATGAATATATGCCCCTGTCACCAGGCACCATATCTGTGTATCCCTTGTGGCTGACCCAGAGGCTTACAGAGGAGTCATAAATAAACTGACAGAAATTAGCAAGATAATCACACTGTGAAAGTCTCAAATAAAATCCCCACTTAAATCACCATCTCCTTTTGAACTGTGTTCATTCTCACCCCATCAAGACAAACTGCCTATAGCTGAATGAGAGCTCCACAACAAAACAAAGATGTTTACATGTAACTTTCTTCATGTTGACTCATACACCAGTTGCTTAGCATGTAACTTCGTGTCTAGTTCCCAGGTACATTTTATTATAGCCCCTAATGCCTTGTTACTTGCAAGATAAACAGCTGATATTTACCTTTCTAAAGGCAAGTGGCTATAAGAGTGGTATTTTTAAAGGTGGGACAATCGATGTTCACCCCAGTAGGGAGCACAGTGCTAAACAAAAAGATGCTTATGTATTTGTAAATGTTTGTGGAGTTTAATTTAAGAAAGGAACATGAAGAAATGTGATAGGAGCTGCTTACTCTTGTTGTGAAGCTGGTTGGCTCTTCTTATCACATGCATACCAGGGTTAACATTTCTTCTCCAACTTGCCCAGACTTCCTGCTCAAAGGTAGTTTCTCTGGGGAAACTAATCTCTGGTCACTCCCAAACCTTTCAGCCTTATCAGAGACCCTTTTGGGGATCCTCTCCCTCTGAGTTCTAGTAGGAAAAAGGCTCTTTTGCTGTTCTAATCGTTCTACCCCCCACCCCACAGCCCTCACATCAAGGACTCTCGGAAGGTCAGTCAATATAAAGGAGCTGTGTCCCTCACCAGTCCGCCTGTGATGGGCCACCCCGGCTTACCCACAGCCCTCCCAGAGCCCCCCACAATAGCACCTCTCCTCCTCCCTCTAGAGTTGCTTTCAGCCCCAAAGTGAATGATTTTAACTGCTTTTATGACCATTTTAAACCATTTACCTCTTTGTCAAAGCAAGACACATCCATTATAGAACAATCTGGGAAGTACAAACAATGTGAAGCAGGAGATAAGAGTGCCACCCTAACTACTACTTAAAATACTACCCTGAAGACACAACCATTACTGACATTCTGGCTTATTTCCCTTCTAGCCTTTTTTCTATACTTGTATTTTGCTTAAATGATAGCCCAAGTCTTTCCTAGGTCATTAAAACCTTCTTAAATACCACTTAATGGCTGTGTAATAGTTCATCGTAAAGATATTCCAAAATTGACTTGTCAGTTTTTCTGTAGGTAGACATTTAGGATGTTCATGAGTGTTTTCTTAAAGCAGCAAAACACAGGCCTCTGATTTGGGAGATGGGGTGGTGTGGGGAGTGGCAGGAGAAGTTGGAATAATGGCCAACGAAAATTTTCCTTCCTTCAAGCCCATCCTTGTATAGGTATCCTGCTAACTTTTCTAGTGATAGCATTAGTTTTCTTCCTTCTATGCATCTTAAGTTTTTTTATGACCTTTATTGTAATTACTATAGTGTTAAGTATTATAATATCATCATACATAAGAGGTAAAACAGAATATAACTCCCCATAATTATGTCTGTGAATGCTATTGATTTTATAATGGAAGGTTCCAGGAGCCCTTGACATTTATTACAGCCACACTTCAGCTGCTGCATGTTATGAGAAGCCCTGTAAGTTATGAGATCTTCTCTCCCTTCAGCGCATCTTTAAAAACCCAATGGACTTCTGCCTTCTTTCTAAAGCTTTCTCTAATTATGTCTTTCCCTGATTGCTCCTACTTAACCAGTCTTCATGGATTTTCCTTTTGTGAAACTTTTATAAATGTTCCCAGACTTAGTTTTGAAATTTCTTCACTACTTAGAATTTCATTATGTGTAATTACATTACTATTGAAATGATTCATCTTATTTGTCTCTTTTCTTCCAAACTTTTTTCAAGTATCTGGAGAGAAATGTGAGGTTAAGAGCTTAGGTTCTGAAGTAAAAAAAACTGGGGCTCCACCATTACTTATGTCTGACCTAGTCCTGTTCTTTTCCCCTCTGTGCTTCAGTCTTCTGTTAAACTCACATAACATTACCATATTTCATCAATTATAGGATGCACATTTTTCACATTCACATAACTGAAACCAGGATGCATTTCTCAATCAGTAGCATGTTAAAGTTTAATTGGCCGTGGTTTTATTTTCTTCTTTTTTTAGTAACATAAAATAATGATATATATTATAATCAATGGTATCAGAGTCAATGAAATATGTCAGTGTCTACCTTGCTGGGTTATTTTAAGGATACATGAGATTGCTAGTTTTTAAAAGAATAGAGCCTAGCACCTGCACAAGGTTAACATTCAATATGTGTTAGCTATTATTTTATCTTTCTACTTTTTAAGGCCCCAAGTAGAGCCTAGGCCCTCCATAAACACCTGGTCCCTGGGTCTCCCCATTAGGAGTGACTAGGTGATGGCTGGAACCCACTGATAGTACGATTAGTTCTCCAAGGCTCTTGAAAGATCAGAAAAGATTAGAAAATACCTGAGTCTGGTGCCCTCCCCAGGAAGAAGCAGATTTCTGATATAACTTACCTGGCTTTGTGATGGGCACTTGGAGTTGCTTCCCACTATCCATGTTCTCCACACCCTGGGCTGAGATGGAGAAGGGCCGGTTGGCTTTGTTCTTAAATACGATCAGAATGGAGTCGCCCACCTCAGCATGAATCATCGGGCCTAAAGGCAAAACACAGGCCTGTGTGCATTATCGTTGCTCTTTTCAACACTGATGAAATTTACATGTAGGTAGTAGTTGGCAAAATAAAATAGTTTAGCTTCTTCATTAGTGTACCTCCGTTAGAGGGCAGAATTAAATATTCATGTAATGTTTGGCAGCTGGACCAACCTGGGTTCCAATTCTGCCTCCTTCACTGATTAGACAGGCCTTGGGTAAGTCTAGGAACCTTCTTGAATCTCAATTTCCTCATCTGTCAAATGGGTTTAATAGCACCTTTCTCATAAAGGTATAGTAAGGATTAAATATGATAATGTAGGTAAGGTGCTTATTTCAGTACAATGAAACACAGTATTTAAATGCTTATATTTTTACTATTGCTGAGACATAATCTCCAGAAAAAGCTGTATCCACATGATATGGTGACTTTCAATGGTAATCCCACTGTGTGGGTTCAGATGTTTTTGGTAAATCTGAAATTGCTCATTATCTGGTAAATGGATATAATAATAACAATGATTATGAGGATCCAATGAAATAATGTATAAAAAGGAATTTGAAAGGTAAGAACAAAATGAAAACTTTTATGTATTGATTTATGATCAATACGGTGATTTCACTAAGGCACGTCCAGCACTGTCTCTCAATACTCGGATGCCCTGAGGAGATGTGCACCCTTCTGTCAGAGCTGCTCCCATGTGCGCATTTCTGTCAGAAGCAGCCAGCCTGGATGCCCGTGGAAATCGGCCCACACCCCCTAGGGAGGCCTGTGGCTGTGGGATGTCAAGTTTCTCTCATCTGTCAGTGCCCAGAATGTGGCACATGCAGCTCGCCAAGCACCCACCCCACACCGACAGAGCATCATGCAGGCAGTGGTCTTTGTGAGGCGCTGCTTCAAGGAGGATGGAAACGGATGCCCATTTTGGAAGCACCTCAGGCCTAATCCCTAGGTTCTGGATGTTTATTTGCATTCTTGGGTATCTGTTGCATCCTACATTTATATCCATTCTCCAGTGATACAAATAATGGTTCTAATTGTTTTCCTGAGACAAGCCACTAACGTCCTAAATATATCTAAAGTTTGTTGGACTATTAGCAACTTTGGAAGAAAATACTTGGTATGAATCAGGAAGTATCTGACCAACACGAACTCGTTTAAAATTGTAAAGCTAGAAAAGAAAATTCTGTGCATGTTTTTAAACAGTAAATTCGGGCACAGTTACAGATAGGTGCATGTGCATGTGCATAAAAATCATTACGTGTAATTCCTCACCGCTTGAATCGCACATGCCTTGCTGTACAGTAAGAGCAAACACCTTCTGATTTATGGCCTGCTGGGTCACGGGGGCAGGAACAGGCGTGCCTGATGGCTGCTCTTGCTCCTTACAGCAGCAGGAGCACAGGGCTCTCCCTAAGCTGCAGAAGATGAGTGGCTGGACCTCAGGCTCTGAACTTACCTCTGATGGGGTCACTTGATTGTGGCTGACTGGCTGACATGCTGCTGAACTTACCTCTGATGGGGTCACTTGATTGTGTCATTTTACTGAGCAACCCACACCAGGCCTCTCTGAGGGGCCACCTGCCTGTCAGCAGGATCAGTACCTTTTCTTCAGAGCTGACACTGGTCAAAAGAAGGAATGTTCTCATGGGGCTGATTTAGTTAGTGTGACAGACTGGAGTGCCGATGCTAATAGATGGTAAAGATGTGGGGAGATGGTGGGTGGGACATTTAACAACTTATCAAGCTAGCAGTTTTGGTACCTAATGTTATATTAAGCAGCACTGTGTAAAATCATACAGTTTATATAAGTTACCTTGTACATTTAAAAATGAGAATGGATTTCAGGAAGTCATCTAGATTAGCCCTCTGCCAAGATCTCACCTTCACACTGAGGTCAGATTTGGTGACTCCCAGGTGAAGAAAGTGGGGAAGGAAAGCAGGAAGGGCTTATCTCATTGCTAGGTCCAGCAGCCCAGGACATGGCAGGCCCCGTAGATTCTGAGGCCATGACTTAGAGCCTCCTGAGCTGGAACCATGCCTTCTGCCCTTCGCATGCCTTTCCCATAAAGGGCTCCTCTTTGGTCAGCCTTATTTTCATGGTGTGCTGTTATGGCTTTGTGCCTGGACAATCTAGAACCTTGAATAAGCTCTGCAGACACTCTGCAAGCATCAAGTTCTCTCAAATAAAATGTCCTGGCTCAGCAGAGGTTTAGGGCAGGAACTTCAGGGCAGCAGATGCTGGCTAGGCTGCCTGATGAGATGGTTTCTTGTTTGCACACTGTCTGGTAGTCTCAGTATGACTTACGTGGATGAGCTGAGCACACAACATGCTCCCAGATAATGGGAGAGCAGGAAGGTGGTACCCTTGGTGCGGTTGGCTGCTCTCCCCTTACCTGCCCCCTCAGGAGTGAGTGTAACCAGACATAGGTGTGTGTGTGTGTGTGTGTGTGTGTGTGTGTGTGCACGTGTGCACGCGCTTGGGGCTGGCAGTGCCTGGCCTCCATCTGTGCCATACCCAGCAGTGCTAAGTGCTCTTCCCGTGGTGGTCGGGCTTTGAGCTCCACAAATTCTCCATTGGTGTACTCTCTGTAAACCACCTTCTTGTACTGAGAGCCAATCCAGTTTTCAGTGTGGTTCATGAATATATCTCCATGTCTGCAAATCAGAAGCATCAGATATCAAAGATGTCAGAAGGCAGAAACACCTTGAGTGTTTCTGAGTGAAATGGGAGTACTCCCCGAGCAATGCTTCCCAAACCTGACTGAGATCAGGAGCTGGCCTTTGCACCAGGCTTTCTGGGAGTGGGGCTGGGAATCTGCTTTCGAAAGCATTTCAGGAGATTCTGATGTGGGTGGCCCAGCACTAGCTCATGGCTTACTTCTTGGGAACCATTGCTGTAAGGCCCTGGTGGGTGCTGAGTGGGGCCGCCTTAGTTAGAGTCCTCTAAAAGCCCTTGAGGTTGCACATCTCTTCTTTCATCTAACTAACCTCACACGCAAACACACACGCATACACCCTACCACCCTGAATTTCTCCAGATTTCATATGTATCATTCTGTACCTTATTATGCTTTTCCACTTTTAAGATCTCAAGAAAGCCTATGGGTTGTATATTGCACATGTACCCATATACAAATATATAGGTACAGGTGATTCTTGTTGTTCACAGTAGACATGTTCTAGAAAGTCACCTTGAACACTGAACTAACAAATGCTGAACAGTTGTTCCTAGGGGAAATACACGGTTAGGTTCTGTAGGGGTTCTGGATGAATTGCCTAAGCTGTGCCACTTTGGTATACAGATTATTTTGAGCTGAAAGCAAGTCCCAAAAGACTCAGGAAGAAACTCTGACCTTCCTCCCAAATGCCTAAAAGAACTTAGATGGAACTGCTCCAGAAGAGAGCTGCCACCATAGATAAGCACATTATAACGTGACCTAGGAGTGGCAGATAGGGAGAAATTTAGCAAATTCTGTTTGTTAAAATTTCTCTCTGTGTCCCATTATTTCTGTGGAGCTCAACAAACATTTGTTTGCCAAATATTTACCCTTTTCCGTATTTCTGTGAATTGCTTTCTTTCCCTTTGAAGTCTCAGATCCCCTACCCCCTTCTTCTTAGTTCAGGGTGACATACATACCTTATTCTCCCTGACTGTCTTTGAAATCTCTCATGTTTATGTGGATTCCCCATATGTACATAATTCAATTTGATCTATCACTGGTCTGTCTCATGTCAATTTGATTCTTAGGCCAACCAGAAGTCTGGCAGGTAGTGGAAAAGTTTCCCTCCTTCACACCACACTACTTTGAACCTCTGGTTACAATTTTTTCATCAACAGATAAAATAAATATGTAACCTATTTCTTTTTAAAGATACCTTATTTAATATATATTGCTAATCAATGCTGAACTTGTGGCTAATAATAGTATGATAACACATGTCTGAACAAAGCTTATCTAACACATGTGTTTGCTCCCTAAGGAGCAAATTGATTTGAGGGTTAAAACACGTATCTGCAAGTAGGCAAATCCACAAATATGGAGTCTTGAATAATGAGGATCTACCGTATATTTAATCTATCACCAGTATAGATCACTATGAAAGAAAAATCTGTCAATTTTATCTGCAAAATAGAATCTCTCTCATCCTTCCATTTCCTTCTGTTAAACTGCCTGTAATGTAATCTAAGGCACCTCCATCCCTTATCTGTATCAACTAGAACCGTTCCTAATCATTCTCTCTGCAACCTGTGCTCCCACCTTCCCTCTACACTCAAGGCAGAGTGACCCCAAACTATGAATTCAGCCAAGTTGGTCCTTGTAGAAAACCTTTCTCATGGCTCCACAGTGCCCAGTCCTCGGTTTAGCTCTCACACCCTTCACTCTCTGCCTCTACCAACCTCCCAAGCCCATTTCCCATCCCCGGCACTCACACACCCTATGCTAGGGTCATTCCACACATTCAGTCTCTTGAGCACCATGTGCCCTTCTGCCTCAAGGCCATCCATGTGTCACTCCCTGTGCCAAGAGCACACTTGCCACCTCTTCAACTGGCCTACTCCTCAAGTCCCAGGACAAAGACCACTCCTCCAGGAAGCTTTCCCTGACTGCCTACCCTCTCGCCTCCTTTCCCCCAGAGAGGGCTCTGTGCACCTGCCCTGAGCTCCTGCTGCACCCTCCACTTCCCCTGAAGAGTACTTGTCTCACTCAACACACTTGTTCTAATGGCTTCCCCATGAACCAGAAATTCTGTGTGGGAAGGGACCTCATCTGGTCTTCTCTGCACTGTTGCACCAGCGCTTTGTACAATGCCTAGCATACAGTAGGCCTTTCACCTTCAACCTTAGACTGTATGCTTTCCAAGGGAAGAGAATTGTTCTTCCACTGGGATTTTCCAGGAGTCCTAGTAACCTGTGCAGTAGTGAGAAGCCTCTGGAGCCCCGCTCTCCTGTCCCCCAGCTTTCTTCCTCCCAGGACTGGTGTGAGGGTTTGGATTAAAATCTGTAAAGCACTGTCAGGCACATACTGAGCACCATGTAAGCACGTATTCTATCATCATCTTATTAAGATGTCATGTGAGGTGCTGCGTCCAAGCAGGTCATATGCGTGTTGGGAGGGTCATATCGGATGGGATTTGTGAAAACCCTAGCAAAATGTCTGGCGCATGGCAGGTCTCAATAGATGGCAGTGTTATTATCTCATGCCCCAGGTTAGTTACATGACACGCCTATCAGTCTGCAGGCTCAGGAGTACTAGGAACACAGCTTTGTTTCTTCAAAGCAGCATAAGCTATCGTTTTGAATTCCCTCCTACTGCCCAAACCCTGGTTGTGCTGATGGTCCCATTTACTGCCTTTCTGGGATCCTGAGGCCTTCCCAGTGTGTTCTTAGGAGGCCCCAGGGAAAGATAAGGGTGTCAAGGTGAGGCAGTGTTTACGAGGACAGTAAATGTCTCAGGGATAACCTCTACCAACAGGTGGTTGAAAACCAGATGCCCCATGGGATCAAAGAGGTATAACAATTGGGGTGCGGGAGGGGCCTTTGTCTCTGGGCTCCTATCTACAGAGGTCACTCAGATGTGACTCTAGGAGAACTGGTCATTTCAGTTCCGTACTGCATTACTATCTACAAATGTGTTGTACTTTGTTTATGTGAACATGCTCTCATTTTACCTTGCTTTTACTTATTTATGGAAAATATGCAGAGTGGCAGGGGCAGGGTGCAAACATACCGAAGCACCCTCTATCTTTCTATGCAACTTGGGACACAATCCCAGAAGACTGAAGCTAGAGCTTCCTGACAGCCCAGGTGAATGGAGGGCTGAAAACAGAAATGACATCAAATTCCAAGAAAATCATGAAGGCTCTATTTCTTAAACACTCAAGGGCTAAGATTCTACACATGACAAAATTATTACACAGCTATTTGTTTAGCTATAGCAGCCTTTTAATGAAATAATCATTTTAGCAAAAGCCAAATCACTCTTCGTTTCATCTTCCACTGTACCAGTATCAGTCTTTAGCTTCTATTGGCAGCATATACTTTGTAGGAGGGGGTGTCTGGTTTAACAGAAGGGTCAGTGAATAATGGAATGAATTTTAAATCATCCTGTCCTTGAGACAAATCTTTTTAAAAATGAGGAGTCATTTTGTTTCTTCATCTATCCATAAGGTGGCACTGTTACACTCTCTTGTCCAGGAGTTGGAACCCTCAAAACAGAGGCAAACAAGTAAGAAGAGAAGAAAAATCATGTTAAGATCAGGAACTCTCAGGTGGAAGGAGTTGGTGTGCGCCATGGCCAGAGATGGCTAGTCTGGGGAGGGCGGAGGGAGAGTGATACAAAGAACAAAGAGGAGCAAGGGCACAAAAATCCACAGGGCTTGGTCGTGAGAACATGAATTTGACCTTCAAAGAGTCTGTTCAACTCTGCCAATGACTAATGGGAAGACTTAACCCTGCACCCCGTCTCCTGTTCTGCATATGGGAACAGTGATACTCAGGCAGGGGTCATTGTGAAGTGGAGGGTGCAGACTTTGGGGAGAAGGTCTGCAGGTGAGCACCTACCTTGTTTGACTCTATCCCAGTGCGCCCTGGGCGGGGGGCTGCTTAGGGGCATAGGGGCTCCACGCCCTCAAGCCTGCCCACAGCTTGAGGCATGCCGATGCTGTGGTGCTTAGCCCTGGCTGACAGCGCTTCCATGGGAGGACCAATCTTGCAGGCTTTCTGGGTGCAGGGCCTAGTGGAGAGACCTGTTTTTCCTATCCCAGCTTGGGATCTCTTTCAAGACAGTGCCTCCTACCTGTTCCTTGGTAGTCCCCACCCAGATCAGAGCTCTGCCAACAGTTCCCTGCCCTGCTGTCCTCAGGCTTCAGCAGCCCATCTTCTCATCCCAGATCTGAGCAACATCTCTGCCTCCCTCTGCACCGTTTTGGCTTCACAGTCCCACTGTCACTGTGGGATCTGCCTCTTTTCCTAAAACCCTCGGCACTCACTCAAAGCCACATGCATTCTTTTTATGGCCACACTGGGAACCAGCCACTGCCAGTGGGCGTGCACTGAGCCTGCAGTGGAAATACCCTCAAAATAACTTCAGACTCCCTTCCCGGGATCCAGACGGGCAACTTGCCGAGTCTTTGGTGCTCATAGTAAAAGTCTCTGCCTGTCAGAATTGTGCAGGCAAAACCAAGGCCTTTTTAGGCTCCCACATTTGATAAATACCTACAGAGCATGAGCAATCCCACCCAAGAGACTTGGCGGCTTCACCTGTGGTAGCTTTCCCCTCCTGCGTCCACGTGCTGCTTTTCGAACTCCCAGTTTTTGTTAGGGGCATAATCCCATTCTACCTCTTCAGCAGCGATGTAAAAGGTTCTTATCATCCCATAAGGCTGCTCAGAAGGGTCCTTGTTGCCACAGCTGTTGACCTCATATATCTGATTCATGCCTCTGTTGAAGTGGTGCAGAGTGGAACAAAACACCCTGAAAATACCTGGAAGAGAAATGACATTGCATTTGTATATGGCACTCCATTTTTTTTGGGTTGGTTTGCTAGCAAACCTATATATTTTATTCCAAAATAAATAATTGATAAGGTAGAGTTTTTAAATATCATTTTTATATAGTACTTGAAAACCAGACCTTAAGGAGAATAAACTACTTTGAATAGATTTACTTACAGGAAAAAAATGCCATCCGAAATTCATTTGTAATGAAAAAACAAAACTTGCGAAGTTGCTGCCAAGAAATTATTCCTCTGGGTTTTCCCTATTACACATACCTATGGGAAGGTAGTCACTCCTGGAAAACCACTGATGGTATGATTTCTTAGCCAATCCCAGTTTAAAAAGAAGTAATTACTTGGAAGATTAATATCTTAGACAAAGTTCAAATTAAGCCACATTTCTAAAGTCATGTATTTTGCCCTAAAGGGTTTCATAAACTATAAAATGCAATACACATATAAGGTGTATTAAAGCCAAAGATATTACTTCATCAAGCCTTTGAGCAAAGGAGGTTCTCATTACCAATGGCTACATTAGGCCAGATGAAAAGTAAAAAGGAAAGAAATCAACTAGATTTCCCTACATAATGCAACAGTTGTGTTTAACTGAGAATTATGTAATTTTTAAACTGAATTTTGTAGATGCTTTGGAATCAGGTACATATATTTTAATTTAACTCACCATAAAATCATATAAAATAAAATTATTGGAAGATATAAACTCTAGTAAAATTATCAGGTCAATAAATCTTCCCTTCCTCTAGTAGACTCTGCTCTTAGAGGTGATTAGGGTAATGCACAGAGATACAATTTTTTTTTCCAGGCAGCACATTATGTGTTCATCATGTTCTCCAATAGTTGAAGAACTATCTCCTTTAAGAACAAAGAGGAGTTTAAGGCCATGATTATGGGAATGCTTTCACAGATATATCTCCAAGCCCATCAATTTGTATAAGTTAAATAGGCACAGATTCTTATATATCAGTCATATCTCAATAAAGTCATTCAAAAAAAAAATAAAGAGAAAATATTTGAGTTGCAGCCTACACCCTTGTTATGGGCACTCTTTTTGGCTTATAGATATCGGACAAGAACTGGTGAAGCAACCAAGTTTCAAGAAGTCACAGATTTATAATCGCCACCAAACATAAGCCAGAGAACATTGTTATGAAACTCTGTAGGAGGCTATAGGGCATCGGTGTAATACTCAAGGCCCTAGAATAAGTAGGGTAGTCTGCAAAAGTATTCCAGCCAACTCTAGCTTTGAACGACTGTTTCTATGGATTAAAACTATTTGGCTGTTTCCCTGCCCTCCCCTCTTTGGTCTTGAAGAATGTATTTTAAAAAAACAAAAATCATTGTGTGCAAGGCATCCCTTGGTTTGTTTTGGGTGATTCATCACTGATCAATTACACTAATGTTTGAAGGTTGAACACTTGAAGTGCATAACGCAAGGATGATAGAGCTCCTGTTCTTAGCCAGTTGTTGGACAAAAGTTCTCAAATCCTTAACCTGTGACACCGAGGGGCATCTAAACTGCAGTTCCAGTGGGAAGTAAAGAAGAAGACATCCGTTCATAAAGGAGGCAGTTGGCAAGTACTCATCTGGGGTAGCTGTTGGTTTGTTTTTAAGACTAATGAAGCAGTTGGGTTGGAGGAACATGTTGAATGCCCATAGTATTTGTTATCCTGATTTTTCATGTGATAGTTACCGTCTGCTGCCAGGTGTTTCTCTGTATCTTTTATAAAAATGCCATAATGATCTAATTAGTGCGGCACTCTCTAAGAGAAGAGACAGCTACTGGCTCTTCAGTGGGTCCTCCATGGACTTCAGACCCAGTGCAGCTTGCCTCTGGGGAAACCAGGGGTGCCCAACAGAACGAAAATCGAGAGGTCCCCAAATAACTCATCAGGAGTCCACTATCAGTTTCTAGAGAAGAGAAACCAGGCCACGTCCATAACGTGGAAGCATACACGGGGATATCCATGCCTGGTGGATGCGGACTCTCACTCTACTTCCTGGTACTATTTTTAGATGCTTCTCCCCTGTCCTTTATACTAGGTATTTGGAATCAAATACTTAAGATTGTCTGATTCTAATCAAGACTGTCTCTCTTTCTATATGCCATGAAGTGCCCGAATTTGACTAATTTCTTCTGGGGGAGGACCTTAAGAGTACATGCCGAAAGTCACCTGAGATGGCCCGGCCAAGTTTACCTGCATGGTCTGGCTGCATGAACACTGTTTTGGAGATGTGGGGAAATAGGGCCAGGGTGTCATGGTGAGTCCCTTGAAAGTGGATGGTGTTCCCTTGAAAATAAACGCCGTGCATGTCGGTGTCAGTGCCCATTCCAATCATATGCCAAGAAACTCTGTCCTTTTTGCACATGGTTAGGCCTGGCTGGTTGCCATACATATAGCCATTAATAGCTAAATAGAAGGAAAAAGATAGTTAGAGACCATATAATTTTATAGACATACTGGAAGTACATCATCTTAGTGAAAGATTGGAAAGGTGTGTGGGAATGGGGGTGTTCAAGCTCAAATTATTTGTGGACAATCCTTATTATCAGAGAATAAATAATACTGGGGAAAGGTCATACAGTGAATCAATTTAGAATGGAGACCAAAATTAACAATGAATAACAAATATATAGTAATCAGAGAAATGCAACTTAAAACCACAGTGAGATATCACCTCACACCAGTAAGGATCACCACCATCCAAAAGACAAACAACCACAAATGTTGGCAAGGTTGTGGAGAAAGGGGAACCCTCCTTCACTGCTGGTGGGAATGTAAATTAGTTCAACCATTGTGGAA